ATATTAAATAGTGGAGCAAAATTTTTTAGGTTTCCACTCTTGTAAATGCCCTTGATCAAACGGGACTTTCACCTTTAGAACTTGCTTTAACTTCCGGCCATATAAATATGGCAAATCAACTTTTGTCAAAGAACGCCAATTGCAATGCAATAGATGACTCGGGGAAGTCTATCCTTGTGCGGATGATTGAGAAAGGCAGGTTTGTTTCTTCTGATTCATCCGTCCAACTCAGTTTCGGCGTAATTTAGAGGTTTTCAGGAGATGTGCTTGCCTGCGAATTCCTTGCATCGGCAGGGGCCGATTTAGCATTTGTTCATGAGAAAACGAGGTCAACAATACTTCACTTCATTGCTAGTTCTACATTGAATCAAGCTGCTATGACAGAGTGGGCTGAGACGCGGCTTAAAGAAATGTGTTTAGACGTAGTTGATAACAAAAACAGGTAGTTATGGTAGATTGTTTTTCCCTTACTTTTGTATCATAACAAGCTTAGGACACCTGTGCTTCTAAGTATTGCAAGCGGCAATCTTTCTCTTGCTAAATCTCTGATTGCTAATGGAGCCGATTTGGTGAAAGCCGATGTTGAGGGAAGATCTCCTCTTTCTGTCGCTCTCTTTAATCGAAACGATCTTGCCCTCAGTGCAGCTATTGTTAAATCTGGAGGCGATACTGTTGTAAATCATCGTATCGATAAAGGTATGCTTCTAATGCGAATAACCACTGAATACAAATCCCTTTATCTCAACTATTTTAAAGAATCTTTGCTCCATATTGCCGTGAAAAGGGACGACTTCAAAATTGCCAAATTTCTTCTGGAAAATCATGCTGCTGTGGATGTAGAAGACAAACATGTAAGTTGTCCGTTTATACTTCACTTTATTAACATGCTGATTAACCGATCGTATGTTGTTTTTCACTTTTTTTCAGTTACTGAACTTGTCCTTCTTTTCTTCTATGTTCTTTCCTTGTTTTTTTTTTTGATGTTTTATCTTGCACTAATACTTACTTATTGCTGCGTATTGCCATTTGCCATCTCAGTGAGGTTTATGGCATATGGTGTACTGCCATAGTCAAAGGATTTTTAAAAGATTTTGGTGATGTAAATGATCAACCTTGAGGCTGTTTTTAGGGTGCTACTCCTCTTGAAGTTGCTGTTCGTCAAAATAATGTAGGAATGGTGAATCTATTACTGGAACATTCTGCTTCTGTAAACATTCCACAGAACGGGAAATATTCCGTGCTACACACCGCTGTTTTGAAAGGAGCACAAATGGTCAAGGTTTTTGCCGAGAAGGCAAAACGTATGTTTTCTACATGTTCATCTAAGGACTTGAATTTGCAAAGTAACTGTTAATGTTCAGAGATAGATTGGACAGCATTCAAGCTTCTGGAGTTTGCTCTTGATGAGAAAGCATTGGATTGCGCAAAAATAATAGCAGCAGGTAATTTGAGTATTTCTAGAAGGGGTGTCTCAATATTTTTGATAGGGAGAGGGGAGAGAAGTAAGCAATCATTGGCTGTAATGTTTGGTAATTTCCAGCCGGCGCTGTAGTTGATGACAAGAATTCGGAAGGTAACACATTGCTGATACAGCGCATTCTTCTTTCCGACGACGCTGGCGCAACTTTTCTTATCGAACAAGGAGCAAACCATCTAGCAAGGTTGGTAGCCACCACCTCTTGTGGTTTTGTTCAAAATACGTTTCCTCTTAATGCTCTTTTCTTGCCTAAGAGATGTTTTTTTAGAGATTCAAATGGGCGGAGTTGTTTCGAGTTGGCGGCGACCTATGGCCTCATCAATACTCTCCGAGTTATATGTGGTTTAGGAGTTAACATCAATGAAAGAACAGATGGTGGACTTGGTTACACAGTACTTAAAAATGTGCTCAGTAAAGGTAGGATAAGTGATTAATTGAAAATTCACAAATCATGAGTCGCAATCTGTAATTTAGGTCACTACGATTGTGCTTCAATGCTGGTCTCGCTAGGTTGCGATTTAGAAAGCCTCACAGCTGACAACTCCTTTATACAGTCTATGCTCCATCATTTCATTGATGTATGCGATGAGGAAGCGGCGGTCTTCCTTGTGCAGAAGTACTTCTTTTCCGTCTTGATTCTGTTTTTCTTCTGATAGCAAAATAATTCACTCTTAAATCAATTTGACATCATTTTATAATATCTTCAGCGGTTGTAATGGCAATGCTACAAGAGTTTCGCGTGATCCTGATGAGGTCAGGGAAGAATTTGCCCTTCACAGAGCTGTTTTATCAAGAATGAATAAACTCGTTGCTGCTTTAGTAACTTCAAAAGTCACTCTTACCAGTCAGGTAATTATTTGCGTTCTTTCGACTGTTCAAAAATGCGTCGTAGTTGTCAGGATCTCCAAGGTCGCAGTGCTTGTCATGTAGCAGTCCAGGAGAAGAATGCTGAAGCTTTGTCAGAATTTCTGAAAGCCGCAGATCTCAGCTTTCTATCCATTCGTGACAAAGTAGGGCAGACCCCATTTTCCTTGGCTGTTGTTGCTAAGCAGTACTCGGTAAGATAACCATTTCACAATGTCCTCGCCTTCTCAGCCTAATTTTGTTCTAGCTTGCAGCAGCAATTGTGCAAAGGCAGCCTCATGTGGCTTTGCAAACAAATGGGAACGGTAGGTGTTTTGTGATAGAGAATGTTGTCGAAACTGTTCATATCCATCGCGTTATCTGGCAGCTTTCTGCACTGCTCGAGCTCACACTGAAAAAATTGCTTCACCTATAAGTCTTTTGCTTCATAAAATGATATTGCTAGCTGAAGAGGATTATCTTTTTTATTGTGTTCATGTTAACGTTTTCTCTGACTAATTATCAATTTAAGCGAGTTTTGCTAAGGTTTATTTATGTATAATTTTGAAAGTACGCTATCTGGATTCCTAAAATTGCAGTCTCTGACTGTTTTGCTTAGGGAAATTTTGAAGATGCTAATTATATCATATTTATTTCGCATCATATATGCGGTAGAGTGAGAATTTACTCACCCTCTTTTGATCTGGGACAGGAGGCGAACTGACCGCCATTCATAAAGGACCAGGAGAAAAAGTAATGTCTGGGGAGGTAAAGAAACGATCTCTTATGCCTATTTGCAGGTCTTCGCGAATATAGGGACAAAAGATTGCGAAGGAGATGATAAATATAAGCATTAAAAGTTATTTGAATCATTACATTATGATAATGAATGTAAATCATCTAAATAGGTGTTTTACAGGATAATTGTGCTAAAAGGATGATTTTGGCATAGCACTATTATGAGGTTTCATTCGAGATCGCTTCAGGTGATTTTTCTTGAATTGAAAATCCTGCTGGTTAGCTGTCGTCATTTGCGGGACCATAGA